TCCGGTGCCAGCTTTTACGGCGGCGGATCGCACTGACCCTTTGCCTATAGTTGTTCAAGTGAATATCTCAGCAAATCACGGCACCGTGATTTTTGAGCACCTGTAGTGCCAGATGTATCGTGTTCGCCAGAGACTCCTCGATGTTTCAGGAGTTGGTACTTCCTATATAACAAATACAGCATAAACATCAAAATACGTGTTTGCACTGGGATATGTCAAATAACGTCTAACACATGCACTTCAATTATCCTTACCAGGGCACGGTACAAATAGAGTTTATACATTTTCCGCTGAGAATACCTCTTTCGGCTACCATCCGCAGCAAACTGGTGACAACTTAGAGTGGCAACTAATTTACACTTAATGTTTAACCTTTCTTTGATTAACATTCAGATATTTGTAAAATCTCTGCTAGCATGAATGAAATTAATGGAGATAAACGGTTCTATAACATTTTCCCATTGGAAACCTTCAGATGGCTATGCGTACCTCCTCGATAAGCAGTTTCATCAACTGTCCCGTAAGAAAGCTACAGTATGTTGCTGTGTCACACACTGAATAAGCGTAATCCTTTTCTACAGTAGATGAATGGAAAGTATATGATAGGCGAAGTGAGAAAATTTATCTACCAGCCTTAATAGATAAACGCAAAGCTGTCTTCATCTTTCCGTATAGGATCTTTGTCATAGGAGTATATTTCTCTGAAACAAGCTCCTTATGGCATGAGGAGATCTGACAGTGCAAGAACCACCACTTCGATACAGAACCGTTTTAGAACTGGTTGCTGATTTTGGCAAAAGCATCTTTAACTGATGGCCTGGAAGTTCGTCATTGGGTTCTAATTCAAACATTGGATACAAACCAATAGCGGTCGTCTTCATGACAGCAGCAGCGAATGAGAATTTGGGGAGAGGGCAGATAAATGGCATTACATCTGCTAAGACCTCTTATGACGTACGCAAGTACTGTCATCTTCCATAGTATACAGAAAATTGATATATAGTATATACAAACATATATAGTAATGTTTCTTCGCTGCGACATTTCGCTCATGATATTTAACTGCCATTGCAATGCGTCGACAAGAACATAAGCAGTCAATTCTCAGAAGAATCACATAATCATAAATGAACATGCCATCCTGATGCCCTTTGAACTTTCGTAGAACATTGGCAATCCCCAATGACTATGTATTGTTTTCCACTCATGCTAATACCAATTCGACAAATTTAACAAAACATCTCTCACTTGTTAACATATATTAGGCAATATGTACGCAATACTTTCGCAATTGTTATGATACTTCAATCACAGTCGCTTCAAGTGGAAGAACCTCGAATAATTTGACTACTTACGACAAAAGGAGCAAATTAGGATTTAGAAATCAATCAACAAAAATCTGTTCAGAACGCCCTCTTATCGAGGATAAAAACATCCTTTGGCGATAAAAAGGGTACTTTGAGGATTCCTTAACCCAAATCAACTGTAGGAAGACTCGCCTGTCGAGCAGCATGGCATGGAATATTACTCTTTCTGTAGATGAAATTACACAATCGCTGAGAAGCTTGGAAAATGGAAAGGTTGCTGAAATCCGCCCTGAGGTGTTCAAGGCATTCGGCGAACAAGGCATATGCTGGCTTACACGTATATGTCAAACCGCTATGACTGCGAGAAAGACGAGCGGACTTGAGCATGGGAGTTATTGTGCACGTATTCATGGGATAAATCGCTAGCTACTAAGGGCCATCCAATCACTGTATTCTGATGGCAGGTGCTGCATCAGAGCTAATGGGGTTAAGCCGAGACCATTCAACGTTCGCACTGGTTTCCGGCAAAGCTGCGTCCTGTCCCCTATCCTGTTTATGTTGTACATGGATAGAATAGTCAGGAGCTGCCAAGGCGATGA